GGTTTGCACATTATCTAAGGGAGCCAGAGGTCTGCTGCTGCCCTCGCCCTAAGCCCTGGCTTTGTAACAAACGGCTCAACTGAGGCCGTCTGGGTGCGGAGGAGCCCTGGTGTAGCCCTCAGCTGCCAGACCCTGCCAGACCCCGAGGGAAGGCGGTGCTTAACCGCGGCAGGCCCGCGAGTGTGGAGCTTTAACAGGCTGTGCAGCCTGGGACAAGCTTTCTGCCTCTCTGAGCCTCAGTGTCCTGTCTGCGCTCTGCAAGGATAGCTCTTCCTCCTGGGATTGAGGATGGAATGACATTTCCCCCTGAGCGCTTCACCGGGCGCCTGATGCATTTACTATGCTTATGATTAGTGGGAGGTGCATTTTCTCAAGATGAATTGTTCTTGTTCTCGTAGAGAGAAGGAGGCACCCAGAGAGGAGTGACTCGCTCACCTTCCGACAGTAAGTGGTGGGGCTGGGATTCCACCCAGTGATGTCTGCGTTCAGAGCCCTGACTCACCCCAGTCTGTGCAAAGTCCCCCCACAAAGAATCTTCTAGAAATGGCTTAGTAAGAGCAACCAGGTGCTCTGTCGCCTTCCGAGGCTTCCGTGTATTTTGGTTGCTAGTGTCTGGCACACGGCACCTGCTGGGCTCATGTTTATTACATAATAGTAACAGTGAGGCGCCTTTTCAGAACATCTACTGTGGGCGGGGCAGCTAACCAAGCATTTCACACGGGTGACCCCGTTTAACCCTTCAGACACACCTAGGAAGGAGACCGAATGTTGGCGATGAGAAATCCGAGGTTTGGGGACATTCGATAACGTGCTGGTGCCCGCAGGGGGTGGCTTAGCATCCAGGTGTTCTGACTCCGGACAGGGGGGACCTGGTGTGCGCTGAGCCTATCCTGAGCCGCGCACTGCACTCAGGCATCGCCGATGTTTCTCGCTCCGTCCTTGCAATAAGCGTGTTGTTCAAACTTTATTTTACAGACGAGGAAAGGAGGGCTCAGTGACTTTCACATGTATTTGCTGAAGGTCACACAGCTGCCTGCCCACAACAGTTCTCTCTCTCTCTCCCTCTCTCCTAGCCCAGGATGCGCCGATCTATTTCGAAAGTTGAGGTCTTCAACCAAAGTTGGGGTGCTCTGTGGAGACAGGGGCAGACACGGTTTTAACGGGTGTTGCTCTCACACAAAATGTGGCTCCTCCCACGAGGACGGAGGCCAACTTGGCTGTTCCTGGACTCTGAGAGGGAGGGCATGGCAGCGATGTGTAGTGAGCAGACAGTGATGGAGGGTCTGGAGGGAAGATGGACGTAAATAGAGAAGCCAGGGCTGAGGTGGACAGGAGGCCCGCAGGCCTGCTCTCTGCCTGCAAGTACACAGCACAGAGCCTTGCCGGAGCCGGAGCGCCTGCTCCCGCCTCAGCAGCGCCCCCTCCTGTCCTTTCCTCCTCCCGCTGCACAGTGCGCTGGGTCTGTCCCCACCTGCTTGCAGAAAGACTGCCCCCCTCCCCCCTTCCCTCTCCCCCCCCCCTTTCTAAAGCAGGGGAGGGAGGGGCCGCATCTGTGTTACCCAGTGGCATCTACGACTTAAACATCAAATAAGGTGGATTATTCTGTTTGTCCTCCAATCCACCAAGTGAAAAGCAAAAGACCTTGAACCTGGAGCTACTCCGTCCTGAAGGGCAGACGTCTGGGATTTGTTTCTCTCACAGGAGCCAGGTTTTGCCAACCTGGTTGTGTGCTGTGCCAGGCAAGCTTCCCCCAGGCCCCAGGGCGCTCAGCGCACTGGGCACTTAGTAGGTGGTTCGGCGAGTCCTGGCGACCCACCGACCCACAGCTTAAGCTGCTCTGGTGAGCGGGCGGGGCGGGGCGGGGCGGGCACGAGCTGCCAGACTGCCTGCATCCTGACCTGCCGGCTCGCTGAGCAAGTGAAGGTCGGGTGTGAGGCTTCTCTGCAGGAAGCCGGCCTGGGCATCCTGCAGAGAAAGTTGAACCTGCACTTCATGGAGTTTAAAGATGATTTGTCAGTGGCGACAATGTGCAAAAATATATTTCTGTTGCAGCAGCTCCCAATCGCCGGGATTTATAGTTTCATCACTCGGGTTTGAAAGCACACCCGTGTGCTCCGGCAAATGGGAAAATGCATGAACAATTTGTTGGTTTTTTTTTTTTTTATCAAGTTTCCCCAAATACGTAAACTCTGAGAGGGCCTTGTTCTTTTTAAATGATCGTTCATTTGTCTCTAGACTCTATCTTTTGGCACAATTTATTATTCTCTATTTCAAAAAACTTAAATGCATTTTGCATATTAGCACGTAACTCTTGTTCCTGTCTCCTCCGGTGTGGCAAGGGCTGGATTGCTTTTATAAAGAAAAAAATGGCTAATAAAATTGGCCTCAGCACCAATGCTCTGCAATTCTTATGAACAGTAAAGTGGTACTTACCGTCATTGATGTTAAAAGCTATTTCTAAATTATGGTGCCATTTATTATCTCTAGTGTCCAAAGTAAGTTTAAATGATGCTTATAATTCATGTTTTACCAAATTTCCTTTTCCCCCTGAGGATACCTCTGATTAACTTATGCACATTAAAGCGCTTTTTAAATTCTTCTTTTATTGCCATTATGCTCTGAAAGTCTCAGCGATTCTCAAAAATGGGTAATAAACTTGAGATAAAATGCTGCAGTTTTAGATCAATGCTGACATATCACTGTGGTGATTTCTACAGAGCTAAAGTGATAATGCTTCATATTTACGGAATATATACTAGGTTATTACTGCAGTATTACCATTTTGTTCTAAGATGAAATGAGTAATTTACCAATTTATTAAACAGTTACATTTAAGTATTGCTTAGGACATTACCACCCCAATCTGTTTACTTAGCTTGAAGAGTTACCATTAAGATACCCTGTTTATTTAGGTAAAATTTGTAATCATCATGCCTTCCATTAACCGACGTATTTTTCTGGGAGGCTAATTGTCTGGAAATGAGTTTCTCCTTATTTACTGGCTACATTCTGCTTAGCTGGCTAAAAACGTCACCCCGGCAAGGAGTGCGAGGGAAATTAATAATACATACAGAGAACAGTTTTAATTAGTATAATACCAAATGTTAATAAAAGATTTATGACACCGTTAAAAAGTTCTAACGGAAGAGATCGTAACCGCTCCGGGCTCCGTGTGTCAGGAGGGGACAGCCTGGCTGCAGCCTTTTGTGCGAGGCTGGATGTGGGTGGTGCTGGGGAGCTGCGGGGGCTCCTGGGGGCACAGGCTGGCGGGGAGAGGCCCTGCCTTTGACAGAGGTTTGCTGGGAGCGGAACAGACGGGGTTCACACTAAGGAAGGGGAATTTGGGGCATCGATGTAGAATGCCAAGTCTAACTCGAAAGATGGCAAGTTTTCTGCAAAGGAGAGGAACACAGTCCGAGCCTTCCCCCACGCCCCCCCCCCCCCCCCCCCCACACACACACACACACACTCGCACACACACGCGCGCGCACACCAGCCCTGAGACATTTCTCCCGGGCACATAGGTCTTCAGTTCCAGTTGGGAACAGGTGGGACTTTGAGAGGCTGGGCTGCTGTTAGCTCAGAAACGATGGGGAAAATGGATCGGTCTGGAACAGGAAAAGGAGCCATCTACGAGCATCTATTATACGCCATCTGTTTACACATGTCTGCTGGAATGGGCACAGCGGAGAGCTAGCATTATCCCCCTGTTGTGGGTCCGGAAGGGAAGCCCTTGGGAGGGTAAGGCCCTTGCCGGAGGTCAGGCAGCTGGAGAGCAGGGCAGGACGCACACCTCGTCTGTGGAAACCTCACAGCACTGACCCCGTGTGGCAATACCACTGTGAGGAGCAAGCGACCCCGTTGTCATCTGCACCTTTTGTCCCCATGCCGTCAGCTAGTGGGTGTCCCGACGAGCGATGGGATGCTCCCATTTGCATCTGGAAATCTGGACGGGCGGGTGCAGTCCCACCCTCCCACTGCCCTGCTGGCACCGAAGGGGCAGCGCTCTTTCTGAGGTGCCCATCTGCCCTGCCGTGACATGAGGTCACAAGGGCGGGGCCAGTTCTTACCCTCTTCAGATCCTCCGTGCCTGCCACATGGGAGGCCCTTTTTCTATAAAAATGTTTTTATTGATTTTAGAGGGAGAGAGAAACATTGATCGGCTGCCTCTTGCAGGCTCCCTACTGGGGATTGAGCCTGCAACCCGGGCATGTGCCCTGACCGGGAATCGAACCAACAACCTTTTGGTGCATGAGACGATGCTCAACCAACTGAGCCACACAGGCCAGAGCAGTAGGTCCTTTTAAAAACATTTAAGGGAGCCTGGCCAGGATGCCTCAGTGGTTGAGCTGTGGCTCCATCCCCAGTAGGGGGCATCCAGGAGGCAGCCAATTAATGATGCCCTCTTATCATTAATGTTTTCAATCTCTCTCCCTCTTCCTTCCTTTCTGAAATCAATAAAAATATATTTTTTAAAAATAATAAAAAATAAAAAGATTTAAGAAAGTCCTGGCCAGGTAGCTCACCTGGTTAGAACATCCTCCTAATATGCCAAGGTTGTGGGTTCTATCCCTGGTCAGGACACATACAAGAATCAACCGATGGATGCATAAATAAGTGGGACAACAAATCAATGTCTCTCTCTCTGTTTCTCTCTCCCCCTCTCTTTCCCAACCCTTCTCTTTGCCCCTCTCTCTTTCCCTTGCGTTTGCAGTGTTCAGGGGAAATACTGACCCAAGCCCACACAGCCCTGGCTGAAGTAGGAGGGGTTATTATTGTTGCCGTTTTTTTTTCCAGCCCCAAGGGCCAGGTTTTGGGAGCAGCAGGAATTCTTTGTATTCTTTCCTAGCATGCATAATAAAAACTACTTAACTTCCTAACATTCTCTCCAATTTGAGAAACTCCACAGCATGAGGCACTTGAAGGCTGATGACTCTTTTACCTTACCCTTGATTGAAAGAGGAAAAAACCACCACAACAAAGTTCTTAGGATAGCCCTAGCCGGTTTGGCTCAGTGGATAGAGCGTTGGTCTGTGGAACAAAGGGTCCCTGGTTCGATTCCTGTAAAGGGCACGTACCTTGGTTGCAGGCTCTTTCCTGGCCCAGGGCCCTGGTAAAATTTGTAATCCTCATGCCTGGTCGGGGCACGTGCAGGAGGCAGCTAATCGATGTGCTTCTCTCACATGGATGTTTCTCTCTGTCTTTCCCTCTCTCTAAAAGATCAATGGAAAAATGTCCTCGGGTGAGGATTAACAGCAGCAACAAAAATAGTTCTCAGGACAGAGGATTTCCGCAGCATATGCAGCAAGATGCCTTGGGCTGCTTCTAGGAAAAGCGATGTAATGTCTGAGACCAGGGCCACCCTGGGAGACTCGCTGGAACTCCTTGCGCTTCACAACTATTCCCTCTGAGAAGGAGTTTAGTCCTTCAGTGGAGGAAGGAATACACACACTGTGGTAGACACATACGATGGAATATCATTCAGCCATGAAAAGGAATGGAGTGCCCACACATATGACAACTTGGATGAACCTTGAAAACATTTTCTTAGGTGAAAGAAGCTGGACACTAGAATTCACATACTACATGATTCCATTTATATGAAATGTAAACCCATAGAGACAGAGCAGAGATTGATGGTCACAAGGGACAGGGGAAGGGAGGAATTGAGGGTGAGTACTTAAATGGGTAAGGAGTGTTTTTCTAGGGTGATGAAAAAGTTTTGAAACCAGAGAGAGGCAGTGGTCGCACAACATTGTGAATACACTAAATGCCACTGAATTGTAGACATTAAAACAGTTAATTATATGCTATGTGAATTTCACCTCAATTTTTAAAAGAAGGCACTTTAGGAATTCTAGCATACGTGTCCAAAGCTACATCACAGCAATAGCTGTAAAAGGGAAAATTAAAAATAACCATGTGTCCATCATTTAGAGATTGGGCACATAAAATAAAATCATTCATGCTATGGAATGAAAGGTAACTATCAACAACAAATTGACACACCCTGGCATGAAAAGATGTCCACGTTACAATATTAAGTGAAACAATTTAGTTGCAAACAAGTATATTATATACCATTAAAAAAACATACACACGCCAGGAGATCACGGCTCGGCTCGATTCCTGGTCAGGGGACATGTCCCTCTTGCAGGCTCCATCACCAGCATGGGGCATGCAGGAGGCAGCCAATCGATGATTCTCTCTCATCGTTGATGTTTCTATCTCTTGCCCTCTCCCTTCCTCTCTGAAATACATAAAAATATTAAAAATAAATATAAATAAAAAAACATACACACAGGTGTACCTTGCAACGATATAGTACAAAAGTGTGAATGGAAAGACATCAAATAAAACATTTGCTGAGGTTACTGCTGAGGAAAAAATGCTGGAGTGGGAGGCGGTTTTCACTTTTTACTATATCATGTTGTCATTTGCAAAAAGTTAAAGATTTTTACACAATAAATGAATATGTTTTGAAATAAGTCAAAACTTACATAATATTTAAGATGCAGAAGAGTAGAGAGTAGGGAAATGACCCGAAGTCCTGCCACCAGGACCTTTTTAGTTTGTACCTTTCAGTGTTTTTTTTTTTTAAATACATATTATATGACATACAGGCTATATTATGTAGGTCATGTAGGTGGATTATATTAATAGTTGCTTTCTCTCTCTCTCTCTCTCTCTTTTTTAATCCTCACCGGAGGATATTTTTCCATTGATTTTTAGAGAGATTGGAAGAGAGAGGGAAAGAGAGAAATATCGATGTGAGAGAAACCCAGGGCCAGGTCCGGAGCCTGCAGCTGAGGAACGTGCCCTTGACCGGAATCGAACCCGGGACCCTTCGGTCTGCAGGCTGATGCTCTATCCTCTGAGCCAAACCAGCTAGGGCGAGTTTTTTTTTTTTTTTTAAACACAGAGAACACTAATTTTTTTTAAAGAAATATAAAAACCCCTGCAAGACATCAAAAGATGACACTTTAGACCAGCGGTTCTCAACCTGTGGGTCACGACCCCTTTGGCGGTCGAACGACCCTTTCACAGGGGTCGCCTCAGACCATCCTGCATATCAGATATTTACATGACGATTCATAACAGTAGCAACATGACAGTTATGAAGTAGCAACGAAAATAATTTTATGGTTGGGCCACAACATGAGGAACTGTATTTAAAGGGCCAGAAGGTTGAGAACCACTGCTTTAGACTAAGCAGGGCTGGCTTGTGCTTCTCCCAACGCCCAGAACCACCAGCCTTGAACATAGTAGGAACGCACTCAGTTCTCAGCCTCAACTTTTTGAAGAGTTAAATACTTACTGCAGTTTCCTACAATTTTCAGGATCCAGCAAGGAGAGGTTGAACCTGAAACATTTATAAGACAAAATGGCTGTTCCGTGTGCCAAGTGCAAGGGCGCGTGGTAGCTGAGCCGCGCGAGCACGAGGGAATGCCCAGGAAGCCTTTTACCCTCGATCACTGGCCCGCTGCCGCGCGGGCGTGTGCCCGGCCCATCTGGGCAATGGCCTCGTTCCTGCACTTGGTTTTGACGAGCCCTGCAGATGGGTCTGAGTTCAGGAGGGGTATCGGTTACTCCGCCAGACATTCTTGCAGACGCCTGTTGCCAGCTTGTGGCGTGTGTTGTTCGTTTTTCAGTGGCTTTTTGCAAACATGGCCAACATTAACTTCTGCTGTTTCATCCCTCCTCTTAGAACCTGGGAGAATGGAATCACAGCGATGGGTGGGCCTGAGAGTGTGTGTGCTTCTGTGTGTGTGTGTATGGTGTGTGGTGTGCATGTATGTACATGTACCCTGACAGCACCCATGTCCAATTTTTGAGGCAGAAGACCGAGCTAAATGTCCTCTCTTATTTGCAGTGTATTATTTTCTGTGGGTTCTAAGTAATTCATAGGGAGGTCCCTTTCCATAATGAAAGTGGATGTCCCCCCACGTCAACACCGACAGCTTTTCCAGGGACGAGTGGGTTTAGATGCATCTTAACACGGGTTTTATTTACTCACCCTGGATGGTTGCAGGGAAGAGTGTGTGGTGGACGCTGGGGCTGCGGGGGACACAAGGCTGGTTTCAGTGGAGATGACAGAGAGCAGACAGGATGGAAGCCGGGGAGAGTCCCTGGCCCCAAGGTCACCCCGAAGGTGAGCCAGGCCCAGAAGGGGGTGTCAGGCGGGGAGTTTGCAAAGGTGCCACGTTGGGTTCCCTGTGTCTTTCCTTCTAGCCCGCGATGCTGCCTCAGCTTTCGCCTTCTCGGTGACATCTCCAGCTGCTCTTTTCCTTGATCAAAACCTGCTAGTAAACCTTCCCTGGCAGCCCTAGCCGGCGTGGCTCAGTGGATAGAGTGTGGGCCTGCGGACCAAAGGGTCTCAGGTTCAGTTCCGGTCAAGGGCACGTACCTGGGTGGCAGGCTCCGGCCCTGGCCCTGGTCAGGGCTCTTGCAGGAGGCAACCAATCAATGTGTTTCTCCCACATCGATATTTCTCTCTGTCTTTCCCTCTCTCTTCCACGCTCCCTAAAAATCAATGGAAACATATCCTCGGGTGAGGATTAAAAAAAAACACAAAAAAACCTCCCTGGCAGAGGGGGGGTCAGGTGAAGCCTCCCAGGTGTGGGTCCCTTCTTGTAAATAATATCGAAGTCAGTTCATCCATTGGGTCCCCCACGGCGGCTCTGCGTCTGGTGCTGGCGACACTGGAAGAAAAGGCTCGCTGTGCTGGAGGGACGCATGTAATGAGCCAGGTGCAGGGACTGGGTGCTGGGGACGTGGGGAGAGACCTCCATCTCAGGGCCCGAGCCGCAGTCAGAGGTGGGAGGGGGACCGTCTGGCACTGGGCTGGGAGAGCAGCAGCGGCCAGGGAGCGAGGCCCAGTCCTGGGGCGCTGAGTTCCCGCCTAGGAGCTCAGAGGCCCCCTGTGTGGCGTGAGGCACTGAAAGGCCTATGCCAGGTTGGGGGGGCAGGTTGTGGTTTTAGGGGAGTCTCTCTGGCTGGTGGCCCTGGAGGAGGGTCCCTGTGAGACTGCAAGTGGAGAGAGTTTCAGGCTGTGAAAGAGGGGTTCCCAGAGGGTCAAGGAGGGGGCGCTGGGCTCCAGAGACCTCCTCCTCCAGAGTGAGGCCACTGCTCCGAGGAGGGAGACAGGGGTGGGAGGCTGAGTGACAGAGGCCAGGGGACCGAAGAGGGCGCTTTGCCGCCCAGATCTCCCTCCCTCAGGGCCCCAGTCACCCGACAGGAGGCAGAGGCGAGGAGGCGACTGGCAGGTTCCAATCCCAGCGCCCTGCGCTCACCTCTACCCCCCACCTCCTAGCTGCTCAATAAACAGCAGGCCGACTACTATCCGAGGTGAACAGGGCCGTTCACAAATGCACGTGCGGGGTGTGGTGTGTGTGTGCGCGGGAGCCCAGCTCAGGAGCCAGGGCAGGCGGCTGTGGGGAGCCCATCGCCTTGCCCAGGGGAAGAGCCACAGGCCAGTCTCAGTGCATTCATTTCCTCATTTCCGAGCAGACTCTTGTCAAGAAAAAAAAAAAAAAAGATGGCAGAGTGTCGTCCTGGCAGAAATAGCCGAGACCACAGATGCATTTGCCCGCCTGCCCCGCTGCTCTCCCTGTCTGCCTCCCTCCGGCTCCGTCAGACGCCTGGGCTTTGCACGGCCAGCTGACTCCAGAGAGGCGACAGGTGACTGTGGGAGGACCACCCTCGGGGAAGGGCCGTGGATGGCTCCAGGGGAGGGGGCCATGCCATTCCCGAGTGGTACAGTTCGCAGCTCCCAGAACAAACAGGGCTGACACTGATGCAAACTTTGAAAAGTGTTTTTTTAATATATATTTTTACTGATTTCAGCGAGAGCAAAAGAGAGAGAGAGATTGAAACATCCATGATGAGAGAGAACCATCGATCGGCTGCCTCCTGCACACCTCACACTGGGGATCGAGCCCGCAACCCGGGCATGTGCCCGGACCAGGAATTGAACCGTGACCTCCTGGTTCATAGGTCATCGCTCAACCACTGAGCCACGCTGGCCCTGGGCAAAAAGCATTTTTTTAAAAAAGCATCCTCGCCCACATGTT